GGCGCTGACTCGCTCCGCCATATTTTTTTTCTTCCCCCGGATGACGGCGGCGGATGACGCATTAATCGCGCGACACAACTAATCGATGATTAAATTCGTTGGCAACGCTTTTAAAAGTCGATTTTTATCGATTTTATCGATTCGTTGTTGCAGCCCTAAAACCAACCAATCAGCGCACAGCTCATCTAAATATTCATGAGCATACCATAAAAGGAAGAAAACCTGTCATTTCATTCTAGGACTTTTAACCAGGCTTGCATTAGGGCGCATAGAACGCCAGTTTCAGCCCAACCAATGTTATACACCCTATTCAGAGACCTTAAGGACCAGTACCAAATGCACTATAGACTCATTCTATGACCCCTTTAATCGTACTTCGTTTAGTCAGCCAGAGGTCTAAACACATTGTTTTACTGGAGTGGAATGTGTATCTTTTTGTACTGATCTATGCTTATAACCATTTTATTTCAATTAAATAGTTATTGTTCTTAGGGAAAGTAGTAGTTTACTCTGTTTGGTAAAGATTTAAAATTGTATTGTTTCCTTTTTTCATCTTTGTAGAACCTGAACATCTGAAGATCCTTCTTTTGAATCAAATATAAACTTTTTTTAGATGTTTAAAACAACCTAAACAAAAAAAAATTTCTAATTTGATATAAACTCCAAGGAGATTAGGTCATATCGAACAAAGTAAACCCTATTTTCGAAAAATTGAAACTAAAGAAGAAACTCACCAGAAGTCATTAGCACCTTGCTCCTCTTTGAGAAAATTTGATGGCAGATGTCTTTTTGTGTCAAAACACAATGGTAGTAGCCTTCCTCAGTCACAACAGCGATTAGTACAATGTCAAAGTAGCTTCCATTCTGAAATACTTTGTAAACTTCAGGTTTAAAAGCAACATCAGCATCGTTTTTCAGCTCCATTTTAGGTTGTGGAAAAGCACCAACAGCTGTACACTCCACCTGCCTCCCACCATCTTTGATCTCAAGAGCACTGATATCTGGCTTTGGACAAGTACCTGTAGACATGAAACAAACAATAAATATAATGAGGAAAACTTTACACCACATTTTAAGAAATAAAATGCCAAGAGTCAAAAATAAGAATTTGTGGCAATACATACTTCAATTTTAGTACCGCTTTTCCTATCTGCCACTAAGAGAACAGACTTAAAATGTACTGATTTACCTAACATAGTTCCTTTTAAATGCAAAATAGAAACACATGCTTAATATTACATGTTCATTGAGCCGCATTAGGTAAACCTGAGAGACTGTTTTTTGTCATGTTTTATGTTGTTTAGCCATCTCTTAAAGTCATAGGGAAGAGGCTGTTCCAATTTTCCCGAGTGGTGCCCAACTTTACATGAGTGAATAAAGTGAAAGTGATTGGTCGTTTATCAAAGGGGCGGGATTGTTGTGGCGGAAGGCTCGCAAGCACTTTTGGTTGTGGCCGGTTTGTCAGAAGCATCTTGCTAACCAGTTACCAACTTAGTGCTAATGGGAAATTCCATTGGGACCAAGTAGCAACAAATTGATGACTTAGAAACGACACTGTCAAGGAACGCTATGGACAGAGGAAACATGCAAGAGGAGGAGAGTTTTGTGTCGGAGGTCATGGATGAGTCTCCTATGTCATACATATTTTATTTAGAGGAGGAAAGCGAGGACGAATATGTTGTGGAAGAGGATGCCAGGGTTACAATAAAGTTTGTCTAAATCTAAAACAATAGATATCAGGAACAACTATAAAGTTCATTGAGTGTGTATTAAATACATTTCAACACAGACAGTCCTGAAACTGATCATAACCAGCAATTTGTGAATCTGTAAAAGCAGATATGTCTACTTGCAGTAAAAGCAATGCAGGGTGGCAGAGTTATACAGAATTTGTTTTGGATATAAATACTTTTGCAGGTGTGCAAAAAAGAAAAGAAAAATCAGATTTAAGGGGAAGAAATAATAGACCTACATTTGTGAATCCTACAACCATCAACAATAAAAATGTAGGGTCCTCCTACCAGACAGTGAAAATCCACTGTCTTCAGACTGCAAATGCCATCAATTTATTTTCTTACAGGTTCCTCTATACATGATACCAGACAACAACAAACAGAACCTCTTATGGGTTTAATCTTGACAGTCTTCTCTATTCCTCATTGACCGATCGTTGATCTAACAGATTCTCCCAGCTGAGCAGTTGATCTTTATAACTTCAACAACAAAACAATAATCCTTTTGGCAGCTTCTTTGGTTAATTATTTTTTTCCTAAGCTATCTGCCGTGTGCCTTAGTTTCCATGTTGCTGTTTGTTTATGTTTATCAAAATATTTTAAGTATTTGTTTTAAATTAAAACACACACACATGGGCTCTGTTTACTTATTAGATGGCTTCTGAAGGCAACTGGTTGCACTGGATTTTATTTAGGCTTAACAGAGAAACAACTACACCAAACAACAGATTTGGAAAATGAAAACCATAGACTCTCTAACCTCTCTAAGGTTTACAACTATGATAATGTTCTACTATTGCAGTAAATCTTGTTCTAATGTATCAAAGTTTGTTGTTGTATTCTGACAAATTGGAAAAACACCAAGGGGCAGAAATTGGTTAAGTAATGGGCTAATAAAAATGTTGCTTGTCTTTTCCCATTCTGACAGAAAATATCTGTACAATTATAATATCTCCTTGAAAGATCACAAATATGTTACCTGTGATATATTGGACAGCTACCAGTATACTTTATGCAACAAGTTAATTAAACAAACAAAAATAGCCCAATGTATAAAAGTATCAATAAAGATTACTAAAAAAAATTATAGATTCATCCAATTCCCCCATCCAGTCTATTTATAAG